CCAAGTAATAAATGTAGATCCCATCCCCTCCAGGACAAGGAACTTAATTCCACTCCCCTAGAGTGTGAGTAAGGGGGAGATCAATGGTGGTTCTGTGGTAGAATTCTTACCTTCCATGAGGAAGACCTAGCTTCAATTTCTGGCCAATGCACCTCAAGTGTGGCAACTAGTTATCTGTCAGTGGAGGTGTGTGTGATGCTATGATGCTAACCAGGTTTCAGCAGAGCTTCCAGACCGAAGAAGACTAGGAAGAAAGGTCTGGCAATCTACTTCCGAAAAATCAACCAGTGAAAACCCTGTAGATCACAACAGTCTGATCCTGTTGTACATGGCATTCATGGAGTCGCCATGAGTTGGGGCCAACTCCACAGCAGCCAACAAAAACAACAAAATGTGAGCTGAATTTAGTGACTTACTTCTAATGAATAGAGTAGAGCAGAGAAACTTTACAGTGGAGAAACCTAGCAGACACCATCTGAACCAAATGATCGATGTTAACATCACCAGACATGAGTCATGGTGATGTCGTGTACCCCCTGACATGTTGAGATAAGGACATTTCACTTCTGTGGTATTCATTCCAAAAATCCATAATCCCAGTCTAATCATGAGAAACCTTCAGGCAAATACAAAGTGTAGGATAATTATACAAAATACCTGACCAGTACTCCTCAAAGCTGTCAAGGTCATGAAAATTAAGAAAAGATTGAGAAACTGTCATGGGTTGGAGAAGACCAAGGAGACACAATATCTAAATGTAACATGGTGTCCTGGATTGAATCCTGGGACACAAAAAGGATATTAGTGGAAAAATTTGTGAAATTAAAGTCTGTAGTTTAAATGTGCCATGTTTATATAGATGTTAACATTAAGGAGGTTAGTTGAAGGGTATACAGAAACTGTTTACTATCTTTGCAACTTTTCTGTAAATCTAAAACAATTCCCAAAAAATGTGAAAAAACAAAAAAAAGAAAGAAAACAAACAAAAAAGATTCAAGCTTCTCCGTGATGTATAGACTGAGAGGTGGGGTATAAGAGTGGAAGCAGGAGTCCAGTGAGGATTAGGATTCCTGAGGTGGTCTAGATAAGAGATGATAGTGGCCTGGCCTGGGAGGCTCATGGTGAAAATGGAGGGAGAGGATACATTTGCTATTGTTTTGGGAGTAGCAAAAAAAGACATGGTGATGGACTAGTTGGGAGTGGTGGAATGGTAAGAAAAGGGAGGAAGAAGGAGCGGGGAGGTGGGTAAGACACTGAGTTATTTCCCTAAAAGCTAGATGTAATCATGTCAATTATCGTTTAAGAAATCTTCACAGATTTTTCCCTTGAATGTACAATTGGCACCAGACTCTTCAGCCTAATCTACAAGGCCCTCCATAACTCAGTCCCTATTTATAGTTTCTTTTATTCTATACACCTTATCGTCTACACACCTCCCTCCACATACAGATATGTTCCAAACTATGAGTTTTCTCAGATCCTTCCAGAATTAATGTTTCACCTCTTAAAACACCAGAACACTCACATTGTTTTATTAGGTAAGAATAATAATAGCAGCTGCAAACTTTTTCTGAGCTTTTATAGCATACTGTGTCCTAGGTGAGAGTTTTATCTTCATCTCCACATTGACTCCACAAATATTCTTCCGACGAGAGTGCTTTTCTTACTCTTGGTCTACACTTTGGGAAGTGGATCCTCAAGGGTGGGGTACTGTTCAAATTGAAAAGAGGGGCTATTGTTAGTACTGACCCTGGGACAACAGATGTAAACTGAGGCTATTCGGGGGAAATCAGGATACAAGGTCCTAAAACTTGGTATGAAAATCAGTTTGTCAAAAGTTACACAACTAGCAAGTGTCAGAGCAGAGCCCTTAAACTATACTGTTTTTATTTCAAATCCCATGCCTTTAATGGTTGTTTTGAAATTCTCTTAACGCTGGATTTTTGAGTTTGGATAATGAGCTCGACCTCTCTGAGCTGCGCATTCCTCACAGATAAAAATGATGTTGCTGGAACTTAGTGAAGATTCAGTGAGATACTGGTTAGTAAAGTAGCCAGTACAGGTGAGAGTTTAATAAAAGGGGGTGGAGTCTGTGGCTTAAATATAACCATCTTCTTTGGCCCTAAATAATATACAGAGCAGTGTTTTCTTCTCACAGGTGGTACTAGCTTTTCAATACATATTAATTAAATCTAGTCCTTTAGAACCGAGAATTAGGTCAATGGGCCAAAGGAGTGATCAGGAACTACACAGAATCCTGAATAGATTTGGGGGAATGTTCCTCAAAAACAGAGAGCCCATCTTCTCACAGTTGCCTCAAAATCTGAGCCAGAGCCAGATCCAAAGCCAGAAAAATCCTCAGTTGGGAAGTGCTGTCAAAATCCATGCTAATTACCACAATAAGTTGAGCAACTATCCTTGGATTCATCACTCCAAGTGGAAGTAATAGGTATAAAGAGGCTCTGCTTGCTTCTTCAGGGCATGAATATTACACACTCTCCTATATTCAATTATACCGTCTGCTGTAATAGAATTAATATGCTTCTTCTTTTTCTAAATATTTTAACTTGGTGTGTAGCTCAGACAGAACAGAGAGGCTCTTGTTATCATTACCAGTGGTGTTTTCTTGTATTTTTAAGTTGTCCATGTATGAAATACCAACTCAAAAATCAACCATAGATGCTTTACTAAATCTTCACTCTATAACCATGTAATTTGACATGATGCATTTTCTCCAGAGGCCACCTTTGCTATTTATAATAATGAGTTTAGCTGTAAGCACGCATTTTTGCTTTACCTTCTTCAGGGCAGGATTATACTTTAAAGTTGTCATGTCAATGCAAGTAATAACATAAAATTATTCACGAAAAGTTTTCAGTGATGGCTGTTTGCCCTGAAAATTCCCTTCTGGAAATCTTTCATGTGATTTTTATTAGAATCCTGAACTGTGGACAATTCACCTTTTACTTGCAAGATAAGATACCTAGTGCATTAGTAGATACGGAGAATATACAACAACTCCTGCCCTCAAGGAATTATTGCATAATTATATTTTTATGTTATGGTAATTTTTATTATATATCTACTGTTTCCTAAGAGGAGCCCTGGTGGTACAGTGGTTAAGAGCTTGGCTGCTCTTAACCACTGAATCCATCAACAGCTCCTTAGAAACCGTATAGGGTAGTTCTACTCTGTTCTGTGGGGTCAGTATGAGTTGGAATCGACTCGACGGCAACGGGTTTGGTTTGGTTTTTGGTTCCTAAGTGCTATTATAAGGGATAACTCATTTATACCTTGCAATAACTATATGATCTAGACAAAGCTGTGCTAAGTTTACATATTCTTACACCAATACCCAGAAAGGCAAAAAAAAAAAAAAATTAACTCCAGGCTATCTTCTGGCTTCAGGACATATATTCTTTCTGGCAAATCACAGTTTGTTTTCATGGAGCAAGTACAGCAATACGAAAAAAAAAATATATATATATATATATATATATATACATATATATATATATATATATAGTTGTAGTCACTGAGTATCGTCAAGTTGATTCCAACTCATTGCGACCCCATGTGACAGAGTAGAACTGCCCTATAGGGTTTATTTATTTATTTTTTGCTGTAAACTTTACAGAAGAGATCACCAGGTCTTTCTCCCGCAGAGCTTCTGGGTGGGTTTGGACCGCCATCCTTTTGGTTAGCAGCTGAGCACTTAACCATTGTACCACCAGGGATGTGGATACACACACATATGCACACGTATGTATATATTAGTCTTTAGCTTTTTATCTACATTTTCTCAATATTGATATTCTGGGGTTATAAAAACATTCATAGTCATAATAGAGAGCTATATCTCACTTATATGTTTGCAAGGATTGCGTTAGTTTTAAATTTCAGTTTCTTTCAAAAATAAGTAATTCATGTTGAGTAAACAGGTAAAATTGTTTCTGCTTACTCTATATCTCTCCAAGGAGAAGGATTTGTCCAAATGGACCTGTTCCCTGTCGTTCAACCAGAATTTGGTTTAGAAGTTCTTCCTTTCATGAAAATATGATAGTATCAAGTTTTGACTCTTGTACCTTCTTTTGGTATTCAGAAAAGTATAAATGTAAATCTGTTTAAATTGAATTTGATGTTTGTGTCATAAGTGGTCACCATAACTGAATTTGCTGTTTTGACCCTCTGTCTGATAAGTATGATAAGTAGATATTTGGAGGTATTGTGATAAGCCTGATGAATTGCATTGGAAGTTAACTATAGGCAGGGGTCAGTGTGTATAAGTCTAACAGGACTCTAATGAGTTGAACCTGGGATTCTTTTGCTGTTATTGTTTTGCTTTGGCCAACTGCACTCATTAGCAAAGAAGCGTTTATTATTTGACTGAAGCCCAGACATTCCCAGATAAAGGTAGAGGCAATACCTCAAATCTGTACCCTATGCCTTAACTAATAGTTTCAAACAGTAGTTCAATGGGCTGGTAGCGGGTCGTAAGATTTATGTAGCCCAGTAGAGTAATTGGACTAGGGGTGAATGACTGTCTAAACCTATATTGTTGGCTTTTGAAAATTAAGAGTTCCAAGGGTAATTGTTATATTTTAATATATTAAAACCTAAAAGAGTCTTTATTAATATGTATTCAGTGGTATAGTAGACCAGTTTGAAACTTAAATCAGATGAAGTCCACGTGCCCCAGAGATAAATCTTCTCTCCAAATTGCTGTATGTAACAAAAATGAAAAGCAGAAATGATAGCTTCTCTTCCCTGAAATTTGAAAGTCTTGCAGGGTTGACTTTTGTCCTATTTCAAAAATATTAAACCACAGAGTTTAAAATTTAAACCCCATAGAATGAAAAAACAGCGCAGGTATAGTACTGTAATTTGTTTTCCTTATGTAATATTACACATGTCATCAGGGGAACATTTTACTTAATCTACAGAATACTGTTCATAGATCATTCAGAAGTATATCAAATTTGAGATTTCCTTTTACCCCCAGGAAAGTGCTAAATATTATGTGTTTCTCTTTGCACATGTGTCAACTGAGACATTGATTGTAATGCCCTAAATTATTTCAAAAATAAACTTCAAAAGAACTGAATTTGAAAATGTTATATATGGAAAATACTTCGTAAGTAAAAACCATACCTCATGAAAAATTCTTTTGAGACAAAATAATAGAATTATTGTGTTTTATGTACCAAGAATAAAACCTTTCATCTTATATGTGTAGGCATAACCTTTATCACATCCACTCAGCAACTATGAGCACTGATGATGCCTTGTCATAGCCTGCCTCAAAAGATGATACCTGCTAAACGGCCATCGTACCTTCTTCCAACTTCTAAAAATGTTTAGGGATGGTGCCTTAGCTAAGAGTGAACAAGAAAAGGAACAACCAGGTATGTGGGTATCTCCAGTGTCAGGCGGAAAATAAGGAATGAAAGGGAAAAATGATACAATCACAAATGTCGAATGAAACATTCTGTTGCACCAATACATTTCTGGAATCATCTTTAAACTCAGTAACTCAAGTTACCGAATACACTAAAATCGTAGCCTTTCTTTCTCTAGCTGACCACTCCCTAGTGAAATTTAAACGCAAGCAAGGAAATGGCTTGATGCTGGCAGTTTAAGAGAAGAGGGAAAAAAAGCAATGATGACTGTAACCATCTACTATGGATTATATACTTTACATACATCAATTTATTTTATCAGCACTATGACTGTCCAGTGTAGATTATGTCCCTATTTTGTAAAAAGAAAAAAGCAGACTAAGAGCAGTTAAGTTTTTTGTCCAAGGTTAAGAAACTTTTAAGAGATAAAATAAGATTCAAACTAGTTGTCTCTGATTCCAAAATGTTTATTCTTTCCACTTTATTACACTGACTTTAAGTAAAAAAAAGAACAAAAACAAACCAAACCTGTTGCCATCAAGTCAATTCTGACTCATAGCGACCCTGTAAGGGATTGGATAACCCATACACTAGGTAGTCTACTCTGTTAGTCTTAATTTCAGTGTTTACTATTAATAATGGTAAATAAACTATTTTTCTCCATTGAGAATATCCATGGACTTTGGAACTGTGTTCCAAAAACCTAGCTGGCTTTGCCAAATGCTTTAACTTGCTCCCTTACCCAGCCTCCCGTCTTGTAAAGGATAACAGAGGATGCTTACAGCATATGGATAAATGTTATTCCCACCTCAACTTCTTCCTTTCATAAATTACTGGTTAGTTAGAACCATGACTCATTGCAGGCTTCCTTTCTCTAGCTGTTTTCTTTTAGTACACTATCAGTAAACCAGTCTGAGAATATTTTATCTTAAATAAACTGCAGTTTCTTTTAAATTATCATCTCTGAAATATGCTTTCTATAACAAACAAGCAACAGCAAGATTCTACTGGACATTCTTTGGGTCAAAAGCAAAAACACAAGATCCCTACCCTGAAGGAATTCACAGGCTATTGCGGGGGTGGGGGGGCAGAGGGCGGCTAGGCAAGGAATCTATTATATTACAGAGCATCTATCTCATAAGGTTGTTATGAAAATTAAATAGGGTTATATAGAATGTACCTGGAACAATATTTGGCATATTGAAAATGCTATATAAGGGTTGGTTATTATTATTACAGAGTCCTTGGATGGCACAAATGGTTGGCATGCTTTGCTGATAATGGAAAGGTTAGAGGTTCTAGTCCACCAGCGGTGCCTTGGAAGAAAGGCCTAGCAATCTACTTCCAAAAAATTAGCCATTGAAAACCCTGTGGAGCACCGTTCTACTCTTACACATCAGTTGATAGTAATACTACCAGTTGGTGTCAAGTCAGTTCTGACACGTGGGTACACCATGAGTCAGAATTGACTGGATAGCAACTGGTGGTATTATTATTACAGAGTGACAAATGGAATCCCAGAGTGCCACGGGCATGGATTGGAAGGGTAACAAAGGTAGCTTCCAGAAGCTTGTGTCTATTTTAAGCTCATACATCAAAATTAATGCTTCATTTTGGCAAGGGGCGAAAAAGAGTTGTCAGTGTGCCACAAGTCAGAAGATGAAAAATTTTCCAAATCTAAAATATATTGTACCTTAGAACTGAGTATGATTTTTCCCCCTTTTAAACTTACAAATCTCTTAGAAAACCTTTTTTTTAAATTCCTTCCAAAACCAAACTCTAATCTACTTTATGCACAGAAATAAAATAACAACAACAATACACCTTGCTTAGCATATTTTCAGGAAGGCAGTCAACAACATGGAAAGATTACTCTATGATGAGACATTTATAATTTAAAAAGTATCGATTCCAACTAGGCAGATGTTAAACTGTTCATTTGCCAGTGGTGCAAGGGAACCTCTTCAGTTTTCCATACTTTTCTATATTTAATGTATGCATTCTAATTTATGCCCATGTTCGATGCTTGGCTAGCGTAGAAGGAAAGGAGTTCCAAGTTAAATTCAGCGTATGTTATGTAACTCCAGCATTCCACCAGGGTTGGTTATCTCTACTGGTAGGATGAAAATATTGATTTGCCTCTCTTTTGGATGATAAAATACCCAAAAGCCTCTGGAAACAATGAGGGAAACTGAGAAGATAAAGGCCCAAGTCATTCAAACTACATCATCAGTCACTGAAAAGTGATATTATCAGTGTTTTCAAATGCGTTTGAAGTTGCTTCTTTACCCAAGCTCACTACCCTTGTGGTGAAAATGTAACCTAAGGCTTAGAAAGGGGTGGCTTTCAGTTTTCATAGAACTGGAGCTGAAGTTCCTAAATCTGTTGGAAGGATGTGCCCTGAGGCAAGGACACAGACCTCCCACCCTAGAGCAGTAATAGTTTCAGTCCTGAGCCTCTAGCTTTTGAATTGCATTGTACTAGTTTAATGAGTTTTACTGTTTAATATGTTACAAAGTCTCTGGCCTTCAAAAGTAATGAAGAGCAAACATGAATGCCAATTGGAAAATTTATTTTTACTGAGGCTGAGAAGAAAAGGACTACAAATAACATATTTTAGACTTTGACCTTGCAGAAAGTTACTTTACTCTTGAGAAGTAGGAAGGGAGAAAAAAATAAGGCCTTTTTGGCTTGCTTCAAGAATTAATATGTTAAGTGTACTTTCTTGAAATGAAGTAACAATAGATTAAAGTAATGGTTTTCCAAGGCCCACAATTTTTTTTTTAAATTACATTAAAATCCATTAAACACACATACACACACACATATTTCTGAAACGAAGTTGTTAGTGTTCTTTAAATTCTGGTCATGACCTATGTGACCCCCAGTTTGGACGAAAACAAAATGGGTTAAACCTTCTTTCACCATTAAAGGGGGAAATTAAACCTGATTATTCAAGTATAAGAGAGCCCTGGTGGCACAGTGGTTAAGCACTCGCCAGAAGGTCTGAGGTTTGAACCCACCAGCTGCTTTGCTGGAGAAAGATGTGGGAGCAGTCTGCTTCTGTAAAGATTTACAGCCTTGGAAACCCTATGGGGCACTTCTACTTTGTCCTGAATAAGTTTTGGTTATTCAGATTTAAAGGAACAAATAGATATATGATGAAGAGGAAAACATTATTAATGTATTTCATCTTTAAAAACCTCTTCGTAAGGTCTTATGTTGAGGGATAATAACAATTCAGTTGCTAATTAGACTGGGAAGAAATGTTTTGTGATGAAGTAACTGGATTAGCAGTTTGAAATAAATGAGCTATTCCAAATTTGGGGCTAAGGATTTAAGTTAAAAATTTTACCAGTGATGTAAACTAGCTACTATCCAATAAAACCTTAACTCTTAAAAAATAGAACTAAAGTGATATCTGCATTTTTAATATGCCCCTATTCTTGGTATTTCTGATGCAGATTGTCTTCATAGGCCATGTTTTTAGAAATGTTTCTTCCAACCAGAACGGTGTTAGTAGGCCTTAAGAAGAAAACCCAGACTTGAGAAAATTTATCAGTTAAAATGTTCAAGACTTGCAGTATTCTGGAGGTAGAGAATCAAGAGGAGAAATAAATCTCGGTCTGACAATGATTTGATTTTAGCACAGGTTGAATTAAGGTGTATAAGGACTAATAAAGGACTGGGAACCCATGAGGACCACAAAAGGACGTTCAGAGAGAGGGATGAGGTTTTAAGGAGATGGAGCAAATTTCCTTTTTGATATGAACGATATAATCAAATTCAGCAGAGACGTCCAATAATAGAAGTACTGAGGTGAAGAAATCCTTTTGAGTTGGAAACTAGAAATTATTGTGAATCTAATAAAAGCAAGGTCTGTTGAGTGGTGCTGAAAGATTTTGCTGAGTTGATAGCTAAATTAGAGACAAGATGAATAAACACAACTTATTTACTAAGCCTGGGAATAATAAAATTTGAACTCGTAAGATCTCATCTCTGTAGAAATTATAAGAAGGGCTGCTTTACAAGATGGGAGGTGACTTGTAGATGCATCACCCCTGAAGCTGTCATAAACTGAAAACATAAATAAATTCATATCAAATTCTTGCATGCTGAAGGAAAGCCCTCGCTAGATGAGTGTAGGATTTTTAGGAAGTTGTGTTGAAGAGGTAGATGTACTCTTCTACAGGGTTTTCTTGATGTCACTACCAGATGGAGCAATTCTCTGAGATTTGCCATGATCTTATGCTTGCTTTTTTACTTCTCTCTATAAGATAGAATTGAAAAGCAAGTGAGTGATCATTTTATCCCCCCTCAAGTGTCTTTAAGAGTTACAGGGTAAGACATCAAAAGAGTCCTTTCTGTTGAGAATGATTTGATAAAAAGGATTCCAATAACAGGCTTAGTAGAGGTTTTGGGCTTACAGGAATAGGGTACTGTAAACAAATCAATACGAAGCTCAGCCGTAAGTGAATAGGATTGCTGGTGTAATGGGTGAGCTGCCAGCAGTCATGATGCTAATGATTTTGATCCTGCAGTTGTTGCAGTTTATATTTTCTGTACCTCAGGACCGTTCGTGGTTAAACACTACTTTCCTTCTCTGTGTTTCCAAATTTTAAATTCTTGTTTTAATGATAGTTCTAGAATACCTGAAGTTAGAAAATATTAAAATTTTAAATGATTTGTAGGACAAAAACACATACACCAACTGTTAAATAGTGTTGTTATTCTGCATATAATACTAGGCATTTTAATAAGCAAAACGTTTCTGTAGCAGATTCCTGTGGTAAGCCATTCTCTAAAATGTGCTTTAGCAATTATTTTTATTATTTTCTTGTTATTATACAAAATCTTGCTATTGGCCTTTTAAACTAAACCTGAAAATTCCCTCTAATTTACTTTCAGTGAGTAACGGTATATAACCGGTAAATTGTCAAGGTTGATCTAATTTCATTTCCTGTCCTTATAACTAACTATTGGAGAATATGAAGAGATACATTTTA